CGGCCTGCGCCGCCGCCGCCCTTCGCATCTGCCGGTCGCCTGGCTGGGCCCGAGGAACCCAAAGAGCCGTCCGGGTGGACAGGGAAGCGCCCCACGCGAGTCAAGAGGTGGAGCAAGCGCTGCGGTGCTCGTCCCAGCCCTCCGAGGGTGCCTGCAGTCCGCGCGCAGCCCGGGTCTGGATCCACGGCGGGCAGCGCGGTCGGAGCGCGCGTTTTCCCTGCGCCCAAAGGGACCTCGACCGCGCCTCGGCACCACGCAGCCCTCCAAGCCAAGCTGCTGCTGAGCACGTTAAGTCTCTTGTGCGTCTCTCTTCAACAACCAAAGATGACCTGCTGGCTCTCACTGTGAAGAAGCATCTACCATGATACAGTCTGCAAAGTTCGTGAAGCCCTAAAACGTCGTCCGTGAACTGTGGTCCGTGGACCGCGGGTAACCTGTGGAGCAGTTGCTGGTGGTCGGTGCAGCGCTAGCTGCTCACATGATGCTGTCTTTTTCTTTCCAGCTGCTAAATCACTTCTTTTTTTAAAAAAAAAAAAAAAAGGAAAAAGGAAAAAAAAAAAAGGCTACAACTACATTAAATACTTTCCTAATCTTACTTTTACATGTAAACAATTGCTGTACTTGCATAAGGATGTTATTTGATCACCAAGGGGAAGGGAGGAGGGTGCCTGGTTGTGGCTGGAGGGGAGGTGTCCACCAGACACTTTCCCTGTCGACATGTGTTCCACGCCATGAATCTGAGCTAGAGAATCCATGGCCTAAAACACTAGAGCATTGTTTGGGTTGGTTTTTTTTTTTTTTTTTTTAGTAACAATAAAACACTTTTCTCTGATGTTTTGTTAAAAAAAAAAAAAAAATTCTCACCCTTGGTATACGCATATGTATGTATCTGCTTGTACAACATCCAGCACCTCCTCAGCCGCTTCCCCTCCCGGCCTCGCTGCTGGGCCCAGCAGTTGGGCACCGGCTGCGCTCAAGATCTCCGAAAGGCTCGTCCGCACCGAAAGCCCTGCCCAGCAGGTCTCGAGGGGCGTTGGTTAAACCTCTGCAGAAGGTCGTGGGGGTGCTTCTCACAGTCATTTTTGAGCCAGAACGTGAGCAGCAGGTACGTGACAGTTCGTAGCAGTTAAACACTTGAATTAAACGGATGTGAGTTTGTATGCAAGAGGCCAAATATTTGCCAAGTCGGGGTGTGCGCTGGTGCGTTCTCGCTCCGAGGATGGGCATTGTCGGAGCCTGCTGGGAACATGAGCGTGTGACACCGGAGCCGTGCGAGGACTGAGATTTATTTATCAATCGCCTTGAATCAGAAGGGCAGGAATTGCTGTAGAGCCTTGGAACAGCCACGGGAATCGGAGCGTGTCAGGGCAGGGAAATTTGTTGGGGGAGCTTGAACCTTTTGGCTGAAAGAGATGGAAACCCACAGGCTGGAGGGAGTGGGAGCGGTGAGCGGGTAGAGGAGAGATGGGAAAGTCCCCTCCTTTGAGCCCTTAACGTTCAGTGTTCCAGGAGGTGAGAACTCACCCTGTTAGTGTCCTGCAAGTGCCAGGAAGGGAGTTTTTGGAGGTTTTAAGGGCGGGGGTTTTTCCCCAAAGGCTCTGAAAAGGTGGGTTTGCAGCATGGCAAGACTTGCATTTTCTGAAGCTGGATCAGTAAAGCTGCACGTGGAGTGCTGTGAGCAGTTTGTGCGCGAGAGCTTGAGGTCTGCAGCTGGGGGTACGTTACCTTGAGGTTCAGCTTCCCACAAGCATCGCCGCAAGGAGCGTTTCTGACAGCCCTCTGGGACCAAAACTGCTTCCTCTGCTCCCCTTGCGCTGTTCACCACGTGCCGCTCGCTTACCTGCACCCGTCCCGAGATGTGGTTGCTTTCCAGCCGCCTTCTAGGTCAGCACGGGTTTGCAGGCTGTGGCAGCTCCTCGGGATGCAGCCTGTGGTCCCAGAGTGCGACGCGTCTCCTCCTGAAGGGTATTAAAATGCAAAAAAGAGCTGTAAGAAACAGCAAAGGGGATAATTAATTAAAAGAGGTTCCCGTGGGAATGTGATTTGTGGGAGCCCCATTTTCTGCCAGTGAGGAGAGGTGAGCTGTGGTTACTCCTGCCTAACGTTACAGCAAAGCCTAAACAGGGGGCACAGCAAGGTCCCGCTGAGGATACTAAAGGTTTTGAGTGTGTTGGGGTGTTTTTTCTCCCAGCCTTAGTCTTACAAGGCATTTAACCGCATCTTCCGGGCAGGCTCGTGAACGTGGCAGGGAGTTAATGCAGCCCGGCAGGGAAGAGCTGCATTAGAAGCCATTTGCACTGCTGGGAGCCCTTGTGCTGAGGCTGTGCGCGCTCTCGAAGGCACCGGCAAGGAGGAGCAGATGCATCGCTTACATCCCTGTGTGTCACTGCAAACATCCCCAAACCTGAAGCGGTCAAACAGCAAATTTGCAGGGCAGGTGTCTGCCGACGGCTGGTTTCCTTCTAGGAAAGTGTTTTCAGAAATGGATCGGCTGTTTCTGCGAACGAGGTCGGGGAATACACCGACACCAGGCCTCGCGCTCTGCCTGCTTGTGTGAACATGTTCAGGTTTTCATCTTATTTTCTCAGGAAGCCTCAGGTCCCAGCACAGACCTTGGTGTGTGGAAAAACCTTTTGCCCGGGATCAGCTCTCCCTGGGGCAGGAGCTGGTAGCCAGAGGCCACGCGGCAGGAGAGGCTCGGGAGAAGGGATTCCTCTGCAGAGACAGGTTTTAGTGTGCACGAGGCGGGTTCAAGCCAGTGGTAATTTACGCTGGTCGTTGCTGCGTTCCTGCAGCCCACAGAACTTTCGCTTCCAAGCCTATAGACCGTTTTTTCTGGTAGAGGAAGAACAGGGCCTCTAAAGAGTCCCGGTAACTCGCTGAGCATCCTGAAAACGTTTATAACCAATTGCAGGTGTTGGCATCTCGTTGCCAAAAGGGTGGCTGTGGCTGTTCCTGCCGCGTTGCGTTCCAGCATGAATCATTTGTACGGACGAAGGGACCGGGAGCTGGTGGCCTTGTCAGAAGCGTTCGCAGCGGAGCAGAGAAGCTGTTACAGCCGTGCCCCTGGCGCCGCTCACTTGATGCGTTTCACAGACGTGAGAGGGTTTAGCTTTGGGGGCAGCGAGCTCAAAATCAAACCCCACCCCCATAATGCTTTTGTGCCCTGAGATCCAACACCTCTGGCCTTGAGGCACTGAACCGCCTCTAGGCGAGTTGGCTGTCAGGTCGGTCCGTGGTGGCACCTCAGGTCGGGACTGCCGTGCGCTACGTGGGGCTGGAGCCCTCGGGAGGTGTTTGGGCTGGCAAGGCCCTGAGCTCCCGCTTTATGAGTCGGCCTGGCAGGCAGAGCTCGGCCTTTTCTGCTCTTTGGAAGGTGTTGGCCCTCTGCTGCTACCTGATCCCAAGCCAGCTGAGCGGCACCTCCAGCCAAGCAGCGTCAGCAGGAGCGTGAGCTCTTCGCACGCCGCTTTCTTTGAATAAGGTGCCGACTCCGAGGCTTGCACGAGACGCCGCACGCCGACAGAAACTCCCGAGCGACGGTTTGATGTGGCCCGGGCGCGCCGTGCACGCTGCAACAGCCGTAGGATGGAGCCTGGGGATGAGGAGGCTTCGGCCCAGAGGATCCTGTTTGGCTGCCCGTCTGCCAGCCCAGCTCTGTGGACAGATAACCCGCAAGGAGCCAATGCAGGAAAACCACGGTGATGGGCAAGCAACCGCAGCAAGAGATTGATTAACCCACTCAGCTTCCAGCAGCGTGACTAAATCCCTGCCAATACTCCAGGAAAATTGGAAACTTGACTTGAAGTTCTCTACCCTTGTGTTTTCCGAGGGGATCCGCTTGTCACCTGCAGGTAACCATCGTGGAACTGTGGTCTGCTGAAATGTCTCCTGCTGATTGCGGTGCCGCTGTGGGGATGCCCGACTGTGATCTGTGGAAAGCTTTGGTCATCCTGGCACCTGTGTCTCTCCCTCATTTCCAGCTGCTAAATTGCCCTGAAACAGCCACAGAAATAAAACCAGCTCCTGCTCCATTCAGTACTTCCCAAAGGGGAATTTGTCCAAGCGTGCAGCCGCTGTGCCAGCTGCAGGGATGGTTGTGCTGGGGTTGCAAATTGGAAAGGGGAGAGGGGGCTTGGGGAAGGCAGTCGATGCTCTCAGCTAGGAAATCTTCGTATTACTGAGCAGGCGGGGAGAACGGCAAAGGCGGGCTCTTGCGTGCCTCGTTGTCCTGTTGCAGGAAGAAAAATCGGTCATTTTGGTGTTGCAGAATAAGCTGTTCTGAAATACCGCCT